GGGGGCAGAGCCAGGTGCTCGTCAGCCCCCTCGAGGCTCCCTGGCACCGTGGGAGGTCGCTGGGTCCTTGCCGACTCCTGTCCAGTCTTGAGCAAGTCATGGCACCTCTGTGAAGCCTCAGTGTTCTTATCCATAAAATGGGGCCGTGATCCCTTTTCACTGGCTTCCCTCATGGGGACAAGGGTCCAATTGAATAAGGGATGTGACAGCGCTTTGCTGGTAACGGTAGGAAATCAGCGCGGGGGGTTGCTGTTCCCGCCATCGCCGTGGCCCCCCGGCCTGGGCTGGCCCCGCTCCCCATTCCGCACGGAGCAAGTGCTCGGCAAGCGGCCGTCTAACCTACCACAGGCGTTTGGGGGGAGCATCCGCTGGGAGGAGCCGAGCTGCCCGGTCCAGGGTTTTTTCTCTGGCCCCTTTCAGATGAGGAGACTAGGGGCCAGGGGGCTGACACGGTCTGTGCTCCTGGGCCATAAACACCCTCCGATGCCCATCCCGTTCTCCAAGCCTCTGCCCCCGGGCATCCCGCCTCCTAGGCCGGGCCGACCGTCCGGCTCAGACCCGCGCTCCCGCTCCTTCGGCTCCTCTCCCCTTTCTGAAGGCCCGGGGACGGGAGCTCATCGCACCCTTCAGTCCGCCCCTTTCTAGTCTGCGACATTCGGGCTAGAGCCCTCACTTCCCTGAGCCTCGGTTTCCTGACCTGTGACAGGACACCGGCCGCCTTGTTGCGAGAGGCCCGTGGGACCCAGCGCGCGGGGCGGGGGCGTGGGGACCTGCGTGCAGGCCCACACTCACCCCGCCGGGTGGAACACGGCGCTCATCTCCTCCGCCAGGTGCCTCCGAAGGATGTGCTTCCCGCTGGGGATGCCCAGGGCGGCGGCCATGGCCTCGGCGTTGAACGTGGGTTCCAGCACCAGCACGGCGCCGTGGACCCCGCTGTTGGTCAGGTTGTCGGCGTACTCCTGTGGGCAGAGCATGAGGCCGGTCAGTCGGAGGGCGCCCCCTGCTGGCTGAGAGGGGGCCCTGTTGACCTGAGGGCGCCCCCTGCTGGCTGAGAGGGGGCCCTGTTGACCTGAGGGCGCCCCCTGCTGGCTGAGAGGGGGCCCTGTTGACCTGAGGGCGCCGCCCTGCTGGCCTGAGGGGACTCCAGCTCCAAGTGGGATACGCTCTCAGCAGCAAGGGCTTGACCCCTTGGAGACCAGTCAATTTTATACTGAGGGGAACCCCGCCTTCATTCTTTTAGGGCTATGAGGGCAGTGACCAAGGCCATCTTGCCACTGACCTCTCCCAGACCTTGACAGGCAGCCCACAAGCACTTGAGTGAGAAATGGATCTGGATTCCACCCCACGCTTGCTCTAGAAAGTGAGGATGGCTCGGCAGCCCCCACTCCCACTGCGAGGAAAGCATTAGTACTGGGGTCCTGTAGTGGGGGAGGGAAAAGTGATTCCCCGTCTTGAGTGACAGGGGGCAGGTTAGTCTTGTCAGACTGGGTGGCGATGCCCCAGCTCACAAAAATATGGGTATTGATTGGCACACAAAGGTGCATGGTATTTGCTCTGCCTAAGAGTCACCTCCACACCCGCCATCACCCCTCACCTTCAGGTCAATGTCTCGCACCCACTTGAGCACCCGCTGGTTGGTCCAGACCACAGGGTCTGTGTTCTGTGTCTCGCAGCGGGCCCGGCGCTCCTGGAGGGCCTGGTGGGGAGGGAGACAGTGGGTTAGTTTGGGGGACAAGGGAGCACGCTGAGGTCATATGGGGAGAGAGGGTCCACAGTGCTCACAAGGACCTCAGCCTGTATGAGTTCTCAGGGGATGAGGGTTCACTCTTCCCCTTGAATTGAGCACAGGGCCCATGCTACAAGCAGTTGTTGGAAGGAGGGATGGAGAGAAGAAGAGACGGATGCATACAAGGATGGATGATGGATGATGGATGGATGGATGATNACCCGCTGGTTGGTCCAGACCACAGGGTCTGTGTTCTGTGTCTCGCAGCGGGCCCGGCGCTCCTGAAGGGCCTGGTGGGGAGGGAGACAGTGGGTTAGTTTGGGGGACAAGGGAGCACGCTGAGGTCATATGGAGAGAGGGTCCACAGTGCTCACAAGGACCTCAGCCTGTATGAGTTCTCAGGGGATGAGGGTTCACTCTTCCCCTTGAATTGAGCACAGGGCCCATGCTACAAGCAGTTGTTGGAAGGAGGGATGGAGAGAAGAAGAGACGGATGCATACAAGGATGGATGATGGATGGATGGATGGTGGATGGATGGATGATGGATGATGGATGATGGATGATGGATGGATGGTGGATGGATGGATGATGGATGATGGATGGATGGATGGTGGATGGATGGATGATGGATGATGGATGATGGGTGGATGGATGATGGATGGGTGGATGGATGATGGATGGGTGGATGGATGATAGATGGATGGATGATGGATGGATAGATGATGGGTGGATGGATGATGGATGGATAGATGATGGATGATGGATGGATTGATGGATGGATGGATGATGGATGGATGATGGATGGATGATGGATGGATGATGGATGGTGGATGGATGGTGGATGGATGGATGGATGGATGCACAGGAAGATGGTTGGATGGATACCAGAGGGGAAAGCAGGGCTGTGGAAAGTGCTTGCACCCCACATACTGGTTCTCACCTCCCTGCTGAAGTTCACTTGGTACAGAAGCTCGATCCCCAGCAGGATGCTGACCTGGTGGAACTTCTTGGACACATTCAGGTGTTTCTCCAGGTCCCGCTTCATCAGGGAGTTCAGCATCCGCCCATCGACCAGGTGGTTTTGGAAGGCCTGGGAATACTGGGACAGGCCGATGTCATTCAGCCAGGCCTTGGCCACCCAATGATGGTCCAGGTCGGCGGCTTTGGACAGGCTGGTGAGGAGAGACATAGCCAGAGAGATGAGTGGGTGGGAGGGAAATGGCAGAAGAAAGAGAGGGCCAGGCAGAAATGAGGCAGAGATGAGCAGAGATGAAGAGAGAGAATGGTAACAAGGGGNGGGTGGGAGGGAAATGGCAGAAGAAAGAGAGGGCCAGGCAGAAATGAGGCAGAGATGAGCAGAGATGAAGAGAGAGGGTGGTAACAAGGGGGCGGGGGAGGCAGAGAACCAAGACAATCACAGAGATAGATGGGAACAGGGGTGGAATGGAGAGATAGGAAGAGACAGAGCAGAGGTGGAGCGAGAGGGAGATGAAGGGAAGAGGGGGAGGAGGGGGGAGAGGGGGGCGCCCCAAAGAACAAAAAAGGATCAGTAGAGAGAGGGGATAAGAAAAGAGAAAAGACCACTTTCGGACACTCTGACAGTGAAAAGGGACAGTGACAGAGCAGCAGGGACAGCGTAGCAGCAAGCAGCGCCCCCGCACTGCCCGGAGGCCCACGAAGTTTCCGCCAGGCCCCTGTCTCCTGGGACGACACCAGCGTCACACAGTGGCAATCTTGGCACCCGAATTAAAATCTACACTTTGTCTATTCCAAGTCCTCCCTCCTCACCGCCATCCCTCAGATTCCTTTATCTCCCACACAGAACTTGTCCCAGTGCCACGCACATAGTAGGTGCACCAAGAAGACTCTCAGGTGCTGGAAGGCTGGACGCGCCTGGGGGAGGGGAGGCCCGCCGGCTGTCGTTCCCCTGCTCGCCACACGGTGGCAGCCTCGCAGGAGCAAGGTCAGCATCCCCCACCTGCCGGGCTTTGAGATGCGGCCAGAGGAGCGGCCAGGTAGGGGAGCAGGGTGTCTAAGTGGGAGCCGGGGGGTGGGGTGGGCACCACGAGTCAATCATGATGTGAAAGTGAGAGAGCAAAACGTTGGACCCACAAAGCCGCCGCCAGGCCTGGGAGCAGGGCCAGCATCCTTCCCTTCCCCCCAGGCGGAGGGACAGACACCCCCTTTCTCCTCCAAGCTGGGGCCCGTGGAGCCTGTGCGAGCCTGAGACTTGTCCCTGTTCACCCATCTCTGGGGGCCACCATCCCATGCTCCCAAGCTGGAGGCCTGGGTTGGATTTTTAACTCCTCCTGACTCTCCTCTGTTCCCTCTGGGTCCATCTTCTCTCCCCCGGACTTAGGCCTCTGACCCCTTCCCTGCCTCTGTGCCCTCTCCAGTCCCTCCCCGGGGGGGACAGAGCTGGCAGATCACACCCCGCTCCTGCTGTTGGCCCTGGCTGGTCCTTCCTTCCAAGGACACCTACCGAGCAGCTACTGAGCACCGTGCTTGGGGCAGGTGCTGCCATATGAGCCCAGCTTCCCTCGTGACCCCGTCCCCTTCCCCGCCCTCCACTCTCCATCTCTGGGTGACACCCGTTCCCAGAGCTCTGGGTTGTATCTGCGAGTGAGAAGTCCTCATTTCACGTCTCCCCACTCCTCTGGGTCCCGGAGGCTGACTCCCCTCCCGAGGTGTCCTGGCTGTCACAGGCGTCTCACATCTAACAGGCTCCAAACGAGCAGCCCGCCCCCTGGCCCAGCTCTTCCCCACCTGCCGCCTCCAGCTCCCTGTCCCCACTCGCCCGGCCTCTGCCCTCTCCCCCCGTCCAGCTGTCAATCCGTGTGGTCGGTGTGTCTGTCCCCTCCCCTCCTCTCCTGGGTTCAAGCCACAAGCAGCTGTGCGGGGGGGGGAGTCTGCACCTGCCCCTGCTGCCCC